CCAGGATGGTCTCGATCTCTTGACCTCGTGATCCACCCGCCTCGGCCTCCCACAGTGCTGGGATTACAGGCGTGAGCCACCGCGCCCGGCCTTAGTTTTTTAAAAATTAAAATTAATGCAACAAATCCAAATGAAGACAGGATTCTTGATTTCCCCTTTTTGCCTCAGGCACCAATAAGGCTCAGTCCACCCTTGTCCTTTTTTTTTTTTGAGATGGAGTTTCACTCTTGTCATTCAGTTTGGAGTGCAGTTGCGAGATCTCCACTCACCACAGCCTCCACCTGCCAGGTTCCAGTGATTCTCCTGCCTCAGCCTCCTTGGTAGCTGGGACTACAGGCATGTGCCACCACACCCAGCTAATTTTTTGTATTTTTAAATACAAAATAACACGGTTGTTAGCCAGGATGGTCTTGATCTCCTGACCTGGTAATCTGCCTGCCTTGGCCTCCCAAAGTGCTGGGATTACAGGTGTGAGCCACCGCACCTGGTCTTTTTTTTTTTTTTTTTTTGAGACAGAGTCTGGCTCTGTTGCCCAGGCTGGACTGCAGTGGCGTGATCTCAGCTCACTGCAACCTCTACCTCCCTGGTTCAAGTAGTACTTCCCGGATTCTCCTGCCTCAGCCTCCTCAGTAGCTGGGATTACAGGTGCCCACCACCATGTCTGGCTAAATTTTGTATTTTTAGTAGAGACAGTTTCACCATGTTGGCGAGGCCAGTCTCAAACTCCTGACCTCAGGTGATCCACCCACCTCAGCCCCAAAAAGTGCTGGGATTACAGGTGGGAGCCACTACACCCGGCCTGCAAAACCCCATCTTTACAAAATTTTTAAAAATTAGCTGGGCATGATAGGTGACAGAGCGACACTCGGAAGGAAGGAAGGGAGGGAGGAAGACAGGAGGGAGGAACTGAGGAATGGGAGGAAGGGAGCATGGTAGGAAAAGAAATCTGTCAGGAATGACCTGTTCCACCTCACGTTTCAGGTGACCTATGGTCTACCATGCTACTCCTAGGTATTTAAAGAAATGAAAATTTATCTTCCCTAAAATACTTGTACAGTACAAGCTTTATTAACACTGGCCAAAGACCGGAAACAAACAATTGGCCAAGAACAGATAGGTGAAACTGTATTGGCCACATTGTAATATGGCCACACAATGGAATATTACTCAGCAATAAAAAGAATGAGCTGTTGATATCCCCACAACATAGACAACTCTCAAAACCACTTTGTTGGGCTGGGCACAGTGGCTCATGCCTGTAATCGCAGCACTTTGGGAAGCCGAGGCAGGCGGATCACAAGGTCAGGAGTTCGAGACCAGCCTGGCCAACAGGGTGAAACCCCGTCTCTATTCAAAATATGAAAATTAGCAGGGTGTGGTGGCAGGCGCCTGTAGTCCCAGGTACTCAGGAGGCTGAGGCAGGAGAATTGCTTGAACCCGGGAGGTAGAGGTTACAGTGAGCTGAGATTGTGCCATTGCACTCCAGCCTGGACAGAGTGAGACTCCGTCTTAAAACAAACAAAAAAACCCACAATACTTTGTTGGGGCCAGGCATGGTGGCTCATGTAATTCCAGCACTTCGGGAGGCTGAAGTGGGCGGAGCACATGAAGCCAGGAGTTCAAGACCACCCAGGCCAACATGGCGAAATCTCATCTCGACTAAAAATATGAAAATTAGCCAGGCGTGGTGGCGAGCGATTTTAGTCCCAGCTACTCAGGAGGCTGAGGCAGGAGAATCACTTGAACCCGGGAGGCGGAGGTTGCGGTGAGCTGAGACTGTGCCACTGCACTCCAGTCTTGGTAACAGAGCGAGACTCTGTCTCAAAAAAAAAAAAAAAAAAAATTGTTGAGCAAAAGTCAGACACAAAAGACAACTCTACTTATGTGAAATTGAAGGAGACAAAGTATCCTGTGGTGATAAAATACAAATAGTACAAAATGTCCTCTCCGCTTGAGTCATTCCAAGCTCCCTGTTCTTTTCAGAGCTTTCACTATGGAAGACCACCAGGCCGCAGATTGAAAGCAACTCCAACAGTTCCAGTTTCGGCTGCCAGCGCAAAAGCCGCGCTTCGAAAGGGCGGGGGACACGCCATAGGGCAATCATCTGGTCTTCAGTAAATATGGCGGCACCCATAGAGCGCCACACCCAGATCACAAGACCGCGCGCAATCTGCGCTCGTCTCAGTCGGCTCACTGTGGCGCGCCTACTTTTAGATTGACCAATGAACGCGAGGCGTAAGGCATGCCCTCTTTCTTTTCCTCTCCACCAATAATCTCCCGGTCCCTTCCACGGGACCCAATCACCGCTTCGGTCTCTCTTGAATGAGAAGGCAGCGGCCCAGTGAGCAGAGCTGTAGCCTGACGCAAGAGGCAGGAAGCGCGGCAGCTCGTGCCTGAGCGCCCGGCGGATAACCGAAGTCGGAAGACTCTCCTAGCAGCACGCGAAGAACGGCGAGCCGGGTGAGCGGCGGATCCCGGGCGCGGGGCCGCGGTGTGGAGACGTCTCACTTGAGAACGGGAGGACGAGGGGAGACGTTGGGAGCTAAGGAGAGGAGGAGAAGGGGTCGCGAGACGAGGGGGTCGGGGCGGTTGGGTGTCTGGCGCTGTGTAGTGGCCGTTGGGCACCGGGGCGCATGTGCAGGGGCTGGGGACTGCCGTTGGTGCTCGAGTTTCGGGGCCAGCTTCCGGGAGAGGCTGTTATGGCCGCCTGCGCTCTGAGCTCTGTTTGAAGTCTGCCACTCCTTCCGAATAGACCCCGCGGCGGCCTGGGGCTGCTGGGAGAGGGACGAGGGGGAGACGTCGGGATCTGGGGCCTGGTGGGAGAAGTCTGAGCTTCCAGATGTCAGGGGTTTCTTTGGGTCCGAGGAACTTCCTCCTTTCCCGGCCTACCTTCTTATTCTATTTTTACGGGATTCGAGATGCTGAGATTTAGGACAAATAAGACTTCCTTTTGGAAGTAGGAGTCCCCAGTAAGGAATAAACTCCGGGGTGGAAAGCCTGCCTGGGGACACTTATGGGTAAATGGGTACACGTGGCGTGTCTGGATTGTCAGTTCCTTGCTGTCACATTTCAAGTTCACCCGCCCCTGGCGCCTCAGCGGTCACGGCCGTCCACTTCGGCGGGGAAAACCCCTCCACATCCTTTCCTGGTGTAATCTGTTTTGAGCTTTAGATCCTGTCCTTCCCGCTTTTTCGAAAATTTTGTATTTTAACAAACTTAATTTGTCCCAATTTCTTTCTCTCTTTTTTGAGACAGAGCCTTGCTCTGGCCAGGCTGGTCTCGAATTCCTGACCTCAAGTGATCCAGCCGCCTCACCTTTCAAAGCGCTGGGATTATAGGCGTGAGTCACCACGCCCAGCCCCAGTTTCTTTTTTTAAATTTCTTTTTCTTGAGAAAAGGTCTTCCTCTGTCACCCAGGCTGGAATGTCATGGCGCCATCACGGGCAGCCTCGATCTCCTGTCTCAAGCGATCCTTTTGGCACAGCCTCCCAAGTAGCTGGGACTACAGGCCCGTGCCACCACACCAGCTTAACTTTTTTAAACATTGTTTTTGCATAGACGGGGTCTCGACTTACTGTCCAGGTTGGTCTCAAACTCCTGGGTTCAAGCCATCCCCCCACCCTGGCCTCTCAAAGTGCTGGGGTTGCAAGAGTGTGCCACCATGCCTGGTATATTTCCTTAAAATATACAATTTCTTAGCCACCTGGATTTAGAGCCCAGCATAGACTGTGGCTCTTCTTTAAAAACCATGGATTGCTCAGGGGATGGCTCTATCTTGTGGCATGTCTCACCCTTTCCTCCCCTACCTTGCTCTCTTATCTAGTTACTTCTCTTTCATTTGGTGACTAGTTTTCCCTGCTGCTGGTCTTAACCTCCCACTTCATCAGTGGAATAAATTACAGTACCCTTGGGCAGATCCTGATGAGTCACTCAACTCCAACTTAATTAGTAATTCCCTATTGCTTAACAAATTAAGTACACAAGCTCTGGCGGGCTGTGGTGGGTGGCTCATGCCTGTAATCCCAGCACTTTGAGAGGTAGAGGCTGGAGGATTGCTTGAGTCCAGGAGTTCATGAGCAGCCTGGGAAACATGATGAAACCATGTTTCTACTACAGATACAAAAGTTAGTCAAGCATGGTGGTGTGCACCTCTGGTCTCAGCTACACGGGAGGCTGAGGTGGGAGACTTACCTGGGCCTGGGATGTCGAGGCTCCAGTGAGCTATGATTGCACCCCTGCACCCCAGCCTGGGTGACAGAGCGAGACCCTGTCTCTAAGTAAATAAATAAAAGTACACATGCCCCACCAGCTCTTCAGCTTTGTCTTCTGCCCTGACTTCAGCCAGCTAGTCCTACTCTCCATACCCCAAAAGGCTCTGGTGCTTTTTGGACTGACCTTTCTTGGCTCCTGTTCTTTTCCATGCTGTCTGGGAAGTGACCCCTTCAGATTGCCTGTTTGAAGGGTCAGATAAAGAGAGATGCTCAACTCTGCCTGAATGCCTTTATTCTAGTTCTATTTATTCAGCCATTGCTATGGAGTGCTTATCTGCTGTTCTAGACACAGGGCAGGGCTGACTGGAAGCGGTGCTTTTCTAGTTGATGCTGTAAGGAAATGTCTTTTTGGAGCAAAGGAGGCTCAAAAGAAGTGGGGGATTTGTGACCCTTCCAGACAGCAGGAACAGCAAAGGCAAAAGTGCTGAGGTGTGTTTGAGACAGCAGCAAGGCTGGTGGGTGAGGGGCAATGGAGGAGATGAGGTCTGAGTATACAGGAGCTGGGTCAGGAGGGGCCTTGTAGGCTGGGTTTGTGCGGACTTGAGTTTTTTTCTGAGCACTGTGGGAACCCATGAAAAATTTTGAGCAGAATAGTGATGTGCCCTTAGGGGTTTTTCTTTTTTTTTGTGAGAGAGAGTCTCATTCTGTTGCCAGGCTGAAGTGCAGTGGCACAATCTCGGCTCACTGCAACCTACACCTCCCGGGTTCAAGCGATTCTCTGCCTCAGCCTCCCAAGTAGCTTGGATTATAGGCACCCACTACTGCATCTGGCTAATTTTTCGTATTTTTGGTAGAGACAGGATTTCACCGTGTTAGCTAGGATGGTCTTGATCTCCTGACCTTGTGATCCGCCTGCCTCGGCCTCCCAAAGTGCTGGGATTACAGGTGTGAGCCACCGTGCCTGGCCGGTTTTTGTTTTTTTTCTGTCTCACACTGTTGCGCAGGCTGGAGTGCAGTGGTGCGATCTCAGCTTGCCGCCATTCTCCTGCCTCAGCCTCCCCAGTGGTTGGGATTGCAGGTGCCCGTCACCACGCCTGGCAAATTTTTTGTATTTTTAGTAGACGGAGTTTCACCATGTTGGTCAGTCTGGTCCCGAACTCCTGACCTTAGGTGATCGCCCGCCTTGGCCTCCCAAAGTGCTGGGATTACAGGCGTGAGTCACCGCACCCGGCCGTGACTTAGTTGGATAGGATCTGTCTGGCTGTTCTGGCGAGGGGCTGGGGGATGGCAACAGGGGGAGCAGGGAGGAGGCTGATGGCTTTAGTCAGGCAAGAGATGATGGCACCTGCGTGTCCAGCTGACAGTGGTTAAGCAAAATGGAGTATATTCCTCAGATGGAAAATTAGGTGACCATAGAAAGAAATGAGGCCAGGCATAGTATGGTGGCCCACACGTGTAATCTCAGCACTTTGGAAGGCCAAGGTGGGTGGATCGCCTGAGCACAGAAGTTCGAGATCAGCCTGGGCAACATGGTGAAACGCAGTATCTACAACAATTACAAAAATTAGCCAGGCATGGTTGGCATGCGCCTGTAGCTGCTGCTACTAGGGAGGCTGAGGTGGGAGGATCACTTGAGTCCAGGAGGCAGAGGTTGAAGTGAGCTTTGATTGGGTCACTGCATTCCAGCCTGGGCAATAGAGCAAGACCTTGTCTCAAAGGGAAAAAAAAGAAAGGAATGGAATACTGATGATGTGCTAGAGCGAGATGAACCTCCAAAACATTTTGCTAAGTGAAAGAAGTCAGACACAAAAAGTTGCAAATCGTAAGATTCCCACAACAGGCAAACCCATGGAAACAGAAAGCAGATGAGTGGTTGCCAGGAGCTGGGGTGCGGTGTTTAGGGGCTGATGGGTAAACGGTACAGGAGCTTTCATTTCGAGGTGAGGAAGTATTCTAAAATTCCACATGTAGTAGTGGTTGCACATGTCTGTGACTACACTGAAAACCACTGAATTTGCCAGGCATGGTGGCTCACGCCTGTAATCCCCAGCACTTTGGGAGGCCAAGGCAGGCAGATCACGAAGTCAGGAGTTTGAGACCAGCCTGACCAACATGGTGAAACCACCCTCCACCCCCACCCCGTCAGCCACCTGTAATCCCAGCTACTCAGGAGGCTGAGGCAGGAGAGTTGCTTGACTCCAGGAGGCGGAGATTGCAGTGAGCCGAGATTGCTCCACTGCACTCAAAACAGGGAAAAAAAAAAAAAACCCAAAAAAAAAAAAAAAAAAAAAAAAAAAACAAAAAAATTGAATTGTCTACCTTAAGTGGTGAGTTGTATAGCATGTAAATATCTCCTTAAAGCTTTTTTCTTTTTCTTTTTTTTGAGATGGAGTCTCTCTTGCCCAGGCTGGAGTGAAGTGGTGTGATCTCAGTTCACTACAACCTCCGCCTCCTGTGTTCAAACACTTCTCCTGCATCAGCCTCCCTAGTAGCTGGGATTACAGGGACCTGCCACCCACACCTGGCTAAATTTTTGTATTTTTAGTAGAGACAGGGTTTTACCAAGTTGGTCAGGCTGGTCTCGAACTCCTGACTTCAGGGCTCTCAAAGTGATAGGATTACAGGCGTGAGCCACCTGTCAAGCTGTTCTATGGCCTGGCTCGTATAGCTGTTCTAATTTAAAAAACTAACGAACAGGTGATATTATTGGGGCCTGCAGGGTAGCATAGGTGAGAACTGGCCGGAGGGCCTTGGTGGGATTCACTGCCTGATGGACGGGGAGGCTGAGAGAGAAAACAGCCATTAAAAGAATGGAATTGCTGTTTCTGAGCCGGGAATGAGTGACAGTGGGCCAGAAATGGCTCCGGATCCTCAGCATCCAGCCTCAGGAAGAAGTGTAGCAGCTGTAGCCCTTCTGCTCTATCCCCTCCCCCGACTAGAGTCTAGGGTAGGGGAGGAGAACAAAAGACAGTTGTCCTCATGTTTGGGTTCCTTGCACCCAGCAGGCACTTGGTATGCATTAGATTAATAAAGCAAAGAGGTGAGCAGACTTTGTATTAATTCCATTTTCCATCTCAGCTTTATATTTATTGGCCCAGGCCCAATGGGAGGCCTTTCATGAGAACACTTAATCATCCCCCCTCGCAGACCACAGAGAGCGGGAGAAGCCGGTTGGGCAGACACTGCTTGCTCTCTCGAAAACTTAGTTCCTGCCAGCATCCTGCAGCCCCACCCTTAGGGTCTTTGGGCTCCTGCACCATGCAGGCCCAGTGGGTTCCTTGGGGAGTGATGGGGAGGGGGCTTCTCTGGGCTCGGTAGTCTGAGGAGGTTCATAGGAGCTGAGGCTTATGTGTCAAGGAGGTATTCATGCAGAGACTGGGGGCAGAGCATTTCTGGTGGTGACAGTGGGGTTCAAAGGCTTGGGGCAGGGGCTCCAGGGGTCTGAGCAGCTGAATAAGTCTAGGGGTAGTGTGGGATGAGGTGGGCAGGGGTCAGACCAAGGGGATTGCCTGGCCTGTGGTGAGAGTTGGGATTTTAACTCTGGGAATCATGAGAAGCTCTTGAAGGTAGAGAGTGTTGACTGTGTGGGCGTGGCCAGCAGGGCTTGGGAGAAAGATGGGGTGGCTTGGGGGTGGGGAGGTGGAGACAGCAGGCTAAGTTGCAGGTGCAGCCTAGGTGGAGCTGATGGGCTTGTGGAAGGAGGCGGCAGAGAATTCTGTTTTGATGAAGCTTTATCGTCCTTCTGTGCTCACTTGCGGGGCCCTGCCTGTCTCTGTCCTCAGCAGCATGGCAGAACAGGATGTGGAAAACGAGCTTTTGGATTACGACGAAGAGGAAGAGCCCCAGGCTCCTCAAGAGAGCACACCAGTTCCCCCTAAAAAAGACATCAAGGGATCCTATGTTTCCATCCACAGCTCTGGCTTCCGGGACTTTCTGCTGAAGCCAGAGCTCCTGCGGGCCATCGTGGACTGTGGCTTTGAGCATCCATCTGAGGGTACGCCTTCCGGGTGTCATCCTCTTGCCCAGGTTCTCTCACCAAGACAAGACTGGCGCTGCCCGCCCAGAGCGGTGCTGCATTGGGTGTGCCATGGGTGAGGGTGGGGCCTTCCTGCCCCGAGGATCAGTTTTGCCCAGTGGGGCCTATGGCTGCCCTCGGCAGCAGGGCGCTCTGCTTTGACCAGGCGGATACCCTAGCCCTGCAGGTGTCTATGGCCTGTTCTGGACTTGGCCTCTTCTGATTGCCCTCACTGTGGGCCCCCAGCCACCTGGTGAGGAGCCTCCACGGGGGCACATCCAAGTTCTTGTTCCTCATGCTGTCCTTCTCCTGCAGTCCAGCACGAGTGCATTCCCCAGGCCATCCTGGGCATGGACGTCCTGTGCCAGGCCAAGTCTGGGATGGGGAAGACGGCAGTCTTTGTGCTAGCCACCCTGCAACAGATAGAGCCCGTCAACGGACAGGTGGGTAGCCTCCTCCCTTCTCAGGCCCACCCTGCCTGTGGTGGCCAAAGTAGAATAGGCTGGATGCGGTGGCTCATACCTGTTACCCCAGCACTTTGGGAGGCTGAAGCTTGGAGGATCGCTTGAGCCCAGGAAGTTGAGGCTGTGTGTACTATGATCGTACCACTGCATTCCAGCCTGGGACACACAGGGAGACTCCATCTCAAAAAATAGTAAGAGTGTCTGGGCATAGTGGCTTACACCTGTAATCCCAGCACTTTGTGGGGCTGAGGTGGGTGGATCACCAGGTCAGGAGTTTGAGACCAACCCTGACCAACATGGTGAAACCCCATCTCTACTAAAAATACAAAAATTAGCTGGGTGTGGTGGTGGGTGTCCATAATCCCAGCTACTTGGGAGGCTGAGGCAGGAGAATCACTTCAACCTAGAAGGCAGAGGTGGCAGTAAGCCGGGATCGCGCCACTGCACTCCAGCCTGGGCAATAGAGCGAGACTCTTTTTATTTATTTATTTTTAAAGATGGGGTTTCACCATGTTGGTCAGGCTGGTCTTGAACTCCCGACCTCAGGTGATCCACCCGCCTTGGCCTCCAAAGTGCTTGGATTACAGGCGTGAGCCACCACGCCTGACCTAGAGTGAGACTCTTAAAGGAATGCTTAGTTATAGCAAAAATCAGAAATTGATAATAAGCCAAAATAACTGGAAAGCACCCACAGTTTGCTCCTTGTCCCAGAGACGTGGCTGTGGTTTTGCTATGCCACTTACCTAGAGAGTGTTCATCTATGAAGGTAGGGTTGCCCCAACTACAGCTGTCACCTGTCCTGGCTGTCTTCAATCATTGTCTTGTTGTGCACCACCATCTTGGGGGAAAAACTCGAGTGAATTCTGGAGTCTCGCTCCCGAGTCATGCCAGGTGCACGTCATTGGGCTTTGTATTGGCCCACGTGCCCTCGTTATCTCGGTATATCCTGAAGGATGAAGGTGCTGTGGGGGGCTGTGGTGTGGTTCAGTATCTGGTAGCATGGGCAGGAAGGCCAGGGCAGCCCCAGTGCCGAGACTCAGGAAACCCTTAGAGAACTGGTCCCACATCCACTGGGCAGGCCAGATCTAACCATTATGCAGGCCATTTTCTTTCCTCATTGCGGGTCCTGATGTTAGGAGGCTGGGGTTTCAGTAGCTGTGGGAGGATGTAGGGAGTGAGGGGTGAGGAAGGGCTGTGGCGGGGGGAGGCATTTGGACTGCGCCTTCAAATGGCCTATGATGTGGGGTACAGTGTGTCAGGGGGACTGGTGGGGTGGACTCTGGTGGGGAAGGGGTTAGGACACTGCTGACAGGAGAGACGCTCAAACACAGGCGGCAGAGGTTGCAATTAGCCGAGATGGCACCATTGCACTCCAGCGTGGGCAACAATAGCGAAACTCCATCTCAAAACAAGAAAAGGACACTGCCTGAAGGCCCTCTTTCCTGCTATTCCCCAGGTGACGGTCCTGGTCATGTGCCACACGAGGGAGCTGGCCTTCCAGATCAGCAAGGAATATGAGCGCTTCTCCAAGTACATGCCCAGCGTCAAGGTGAGCCCCTCGCGCTGGACTAGGCCAGGCACGTCTTGGTCTCTGCAGCTTTGTTAGCCTCGGCTCTGGCCCAGCCAGCCTTTACCAAGCTTGGCAGGGGCAGCAGCCTTTGAGGTTTGTGGTGGTTTTTGCTCCTTAAAAGCCTGATGAATTATGCATGGCTCCCAGGAGCCTGCGCAGGTCCCAGCCTGGGACTGCCTTTGAGTGGAGCCCTGGGAGGCGCTCGGGCCTGCCTTGGTCCCCCGAGACTGCCTGTTCACAGGTGTTGACTAGGTATTGGCTGCTGGGGCCGTGCAGGTCGGGGCCTTGGACCAGACATCAGCGTGGAACAACTTCCTCCTCATCCCTGTAGGTGTCTGTATTCTTTGGGGGCCTCTCCATCAAGAAGGATGAAGAAGTGTTGAAGAAGAACTGTCCCCATGTTGTGGTGGGGACCCCGGGCCGCATCCTGGCGCTTGTGCGGAACAGAAGCTTCAGCCTAAAGAATGTGAAGCACTTTGTGCTGGACGAGTGTGACAAAATGCTGGAGCAGCTCGGTGAGTCCTCTGCCCTCACAGCGCCAGCTGGAGAGTCAGTGGCTAGGCAGGCCCATAGCAGGCAGAAGGCTCTTGAGTGGGTCACGTGGGCGGCCAGCACGTGGGGCTCCGTGCGTAATCTTAGGGAAAGCTCTGCCGCTGGCAGAGGGATGTGCTGCCTCTGAGCCTGAGCCAAATGGGACCGCAGGGCCCAAACAAACCCCTGTCCCTGCCTGGATGTAAAGGCACACACCCGTACCTCTAAGAGTGTGAGGCTTCAGCTACCTGTTGGGTTGGTTCTAGGCCCCACCTGCCTCAGACCTGTCAGGGCTGGTGGGAGATGGGCTTGTGTCCTGGGAGGCAGCTGCAGCTCTCACCCCAGCGGCTGTCTCTGCCTCAGGCTCCCCTCCCTGAAGCCTGGCTCGAGGCGCACGGGCACGGCTGCTCCGCGCCAGCGTGTAAGTGGATTGCAGCTCCTCCCGCGCCTGTGCTCACTGGCCACCCCCAACCCCTCAGGCACCAGGACTGGCCCCTCCCTCGGCTCACTCTGCCTTCATCGCAGTGCCACTGGCTCCCTGGCACAGGTTGGGAGGGGTCTGGGTCTGGTCTGGGGTGGGGGTCCTGCCTGGCAGGTGCTCATGCCCACCTGTGTCTTGCCCTCCCCACCCAGACATGCGGCGGGACGTGCAGGAGATCTTCCGCCTGACGCCACATGAGAAGCAGTGCATGATGTTCAGCGCCACCCTGAGCAAGGACATCAGGCCTGTGTGCAGGAAGTTCATGCAGGATGTGAGTAGGGCAAGAATGGCAGCTTCGGCCCTCCCCAGGGTCACGGAGCCTGGGGCCCCAGGACACCCACACGGCCCACATGGCACAGAGGATGCTGGGAGCCGGCGGAGCCTCCTTCCCTCCCCTCGGTCTTGTCAAACTGGGAGTCAGGCTTGGTCCACACCTGAGCCGGACCAGAGCTTACATCCAGCTTTTGGTAGAGCGATGTTTACTGAGGTCCGGTGCAGCAGGCCCTCTGGGAAGCGTCGCACAAAGGAGTCGCCTGCTGGAAAGTTCTGGGCGAGCGAGATGCCCAGAGGTGAACCCTGCCTGCCCCTCCCACCTCCCTTCCCACACAGCCCATGGAGGTGTTTGTGGATGATGAGACCAAGCTCACGCTGCACGGACTGCAGCAGCACTACGTCAAACTCAAAGACAGCGAGAAGAACCGGAAGCTCTTCGACCTCCTGGACGTGCTGGAGTTTAACCAGGTGACGCTTCCTTCAGCCCATCCCGGGGTTCTGGGCCGCCGGGACTGTGTGGCCCTGACCACCCCTCCTTCCCCAGGTGATAATCTTCGTCAAGTCAGTGCAGCGCTGCATGGCCCTGGCCCAGCTCCTCGTGGAGCAGAACTTCCCGGCCATTGCCATCCACCGGGGCATGGCCCAGGAGGAGCGGTGAGTGCCAGCCACCCGCCAAGGCTGCAGGGAGCGCCACCCAGGAGCCAGTGTCTGACGGCCTCCACTTGTTTCTCCTGCACCCAGCCTGTCGCGCTATCAGCAGTTCAAGGATTTCCAGCGGCGGATCCTGGTGGCCACCAATCTGTTTGGCCGAGGGATGGACATTGAGCGAGTCAACATTGTCTTTAACTACGACATGCCTGAGGACTCGGACACCTACCTGCACCGGGTGAGGGCCTCACAGGCGTGTTGCTCTCCGCTGGCGGTGGGGTGGGGCCCAAGTCCTGAGGAGGCATCTGTGGCCTGACCCTGATCCTGTGTGCCTGCAGGTGGCCCGGGCTGGTCGCTTTGGCACCAAAGGCCTAGCCATCACTTTTGTGTCTGACGAGAATGATGCCAAAATCCTCAATGACGTCCAGGACCGGTTTGAAGTTAATGTGGCAGAGCTTCCAGAGGAAATTGACATCTCCACATACAGTAAGTGCCTTGGGCAGGGTGGGGGTCTGGGGCAGAGGGTCCCTCCCTGGGCCCTTCGGCTCACTGCATCCTCTGTGTCTTACAGTTGAGCAGAGCCGGTAACCACCACGTGCCCTGCCAGTCCAGAGCCGCCAACCTGGAGCCTCCCGCATGCAGCTGTACCTCCTTCTTCCAGATGCCCCTGTTCAGAAGCTATAGATTGTGTAAGAATAAACTTGTATTATGGAAGCCTGGTTCCCACACCATCTGTTTCTTGGTCACCTCGGCCTTTCACGGACACCCTGGGCCTGGCCTCTAAGTCACCACCAGCAGTCAAGGCCATCTTCTGTATGCGTGTGTTTAATTTTAAGTGTCAACATTGAAAGGTTTAAACAGATGAAAACACATTACACAACATCCACAACCTTCACAACAGTGAGAACCTCCAGCCTGGCCAGGCAGGGCAGGCCTCTGTACCGTGAGCCTCAGGCAGTGGCCCCAAGGGTCCCTGCTGTGGGGCCTCTTGACATCAGTCTTAGCTTAAGAGGGAAGCTAAGCCCCAGCACCTAGTCTGCAGCAAAGACTTGAGAGGAAAAGGCTAGGCCAGGACAAGAGCCCTCAGTCTGTCCCGAGTGCTGGCCACAGGTGCCAGGGCAACAGGCCGCAGTCCTGGTCCAGCCTGTCCCCACCCTGAGTCATAAGGTGGGGGAGAGAGGCAACCAGCAGCAGGACCAGCGGCTCCGACTCCACCCCACTGGGTGTCCTGGGCTTTGGTGCCAGACTATAGCTGCCACTCCCTTCTGGTGGCACACATGGGCTCAAGGAGGGAGGGTGGAGGGAGCAGAGTGGTGGATGGAGGGAGGACGGATGGTCTTCGTGTGCAAAGCTGCTGCGGCCACAGGAGCTGCTGGCCCATCCAGAACGGTGCATCCTCACATGCCAGACTCTGACGCCCTGAGGGCCTGGAGAGGGGAGCCTGGTGAGGCCTAACCCAGCCCTGGTGTCTTCCTGCCCACACACCCGCCTTAGGCACAGCCCCTTACCCGTGTCTGATTGTGGCCGGTGCCAGAGGTACTGGAGGTGAATTCTGAGTACTTGCTCCCCCCAGCAACTAGGCAGGCCCACTTCCGGTACTCCTCCCGAACCTGCCGGCCCAGGACACCCAGTCAGGCCAGGAGCAGGCCCTGGGACCCTGCATGTCCCTCCCGTGCTCTGCCCTCGGCCCCGCCTTGGTGTTTTTCTGGGTTTTTTTGAGATCAGGTCTCCCTGTCGCCCAGGCTGGAGTGCAGTGGTGCCATCATAGCTCACTGCAACCTGGAACTCCTGGGCCCATGTGATCCTCCTGTCCCAACCTCCTGAGAAGCTGAGGTTACTGGTATTCACCACTGCACCTGGCTATCTGAATTTTTTGTAAAGACGGGATCTGGTTATGCTGCCCAGGCTGGTCTCGAACTTCTGGGCTCAAGCAGTCTTCCCCCCCTTGGCCTCCCAAGTAGTTGGGAGGATAACAGGCATGCGCCACTGTGCCCGGGCCCCCACCTTCTTGATCTTAGCCAAAAGGCTGAGAAGCGATGCCCCCACCTTCTTGTTGAGCAGGCAGTGCAGCACGTAGAGGAAGGCGCCCTGCAGGCAGTTGAGGATGGTGAACACATAGGTAAGCACCAAGCTCCGACTGTCAAAGATGAACAGGCCAAACACCCAGGTGCAGCCCAACAGGAAGAGCTGTGCGATGGCCGTGATGGTCAGCACCCTGCGGGAAGGGGGTTGCAGTGTGGGCCCCCACCTCACCTCTAGCTTCACGCCCCTTGTCCTGGCCCCACCTCCAGGTCCTCCCAGCCCCTACTCACCTGGCCTGCTTTAATTTCTTCATGTCTGGATTGATTTCAGAAAACTTCTGAGCAAGCTTCCAGACAGTCGTCACGAAGATGACAGCATTGCACTGGGCAGGGAGCAGATTGTGGGTTAGAGGGTGGGAGAGATGGTTCAGCCAGGCCTGGGTCCTTGGCGCTTGAAGGGGGAGTGGGTACTTACGAAAATGATGAATGCCACAGGTCCCAGGAAGCTCCAGAGGAAGCCTTGCTCAAAGTCCAACCAGCAGCTGGGATGGAAGGGAGGGGTCCCATCAGTGCCCCAGGAAGCCAAGAGCAGAACCCAGGGCAGCGGGGCATGGTATGTGACATTGCCTGTGAGCCCCGGGCCTGGCACCCCGCCCTCCCCCTGCCCCACCTCACTGCACTCACTATCTAGGGCGGCCGTAGCCCTTGCTGTAGACGGCAGCCGAGACGCCCACTATGAGCAGGGGCACACCGTAGCCGATCAGGCAGAGCCAGCGCGTGCTCAGGCCCTGGCCCTGGAATACGCGCACCACGAGAAAGTAGAGCTCCAGGCCTTCGAGGCTCATCCAGCAGAAGGCGGCCAGGAAGCAGTAGTGCAGAAGCCCGGCCACCAGGCGGCAACGCAGCCCCACCTGCAGGGTGGGGACGGAGAGGCGGGGCAATGTCAGCAAGGGGCGGGGCATATGGGGCCAAAGCCGACGGGTGGAGTGGGCGGGACCACGGCCGAAGGGTGGGCGGGTCTGGGGTAGGGCCAGGCTCTCAGGGCCCACCCCCAACAACGTTCAGAAGCCAGCAGTGACTCCGGGCAGGGCCAGGCGGCTCCAAAGGTAGAGCCCTTTAAAGAGACAACGCTCCCCCCCGGTGGGCGGGGCCAGATCCCGGGCAGGGGCGGGGCCCCAAGCCTCCAGGGCCCGCCTCCCCGACCGAGCCCCGGGAGTGGGCGGGGCTAACCCCTCCCAGGCTCCCCTGACCCAGAGCTCAGGTGGGAGCGGGACGGGACCTCACCTGGCCGCCTTCGTTCTCGATGCCGGCCAGGAAGATGGTGGAGCCCACGAAGAGACAGACGCAGAGGTGCAGGTGTATGGTGGTACGCGAGCCCTGGATGGGCCGCACCAGCAAGAAGGTAAGGATGCACAGCAGCAGGCAGAAGAGTGACAGCGCCAGTCCCACCCTGGTGATCAGGGTCAGCTTCCAGTCCTAGGAGCAGCACCGGGGACTCAGGGTTCCTTCAGGGCCTGACGCCTTCCTACCCTCTTTTTGGTCCCTTTTTCCCCCACACTCTCTGACAGGCCCACCTCTCTGACCTCCTCCCTTGTCCCTCCTACATCTGGCCACGCTTACCAGCTGGTAGGTGAGTCTAGGCATTTCACATTTTTGTGCTTGCCTGGACTTTCGGCCTGGACCACAGGCGTCCCCCTTCTCTGCCTGGTTAATTACAGTTTTCGAAAAGGCCCAGCTTAATTATGGATTCTACTGAAGTCAAACAGCGGTGCGGTGGCTCACACCTGTAATCCCAGCACTTTGAGGGGGTGAGGTGGACGGATCACCTGAGGTCAGGAGTTCGAGAGCAGCCTGCCCAACATGTTGAAACCCCATCTCTACTAAAAATACTAAAATTAGCCGGGCGTGGTGGTGTGCGCCTGTAATCCCAGCTACTCGGGAGGCTGAGATCAGGATAATTTTTTGAACCTGGGAGGCAGAGGTTGCAGTGAGCCAAGATCACATCACTGCAGCCTGGGCAATAGAGCAGGACCCTGTCTCAAAAAAACAAAAGAGGCTGGGCTGGGTGGCTCACACCTGTAATCCCAGCGCTTTTGGAGGCCAAGGTGGGCAGATCACCTGAAGTCAGGAGTTCGAGACTAGCCTGGACAACATGGTGAAACCCGGTCTCTACTAAAAATACAAAACCTTAGAAAACGAGTTTTCAAAGAAAAAAAAATACAAAACTTATCCAGGCATAGTGGTGGCAGGCCTGTAATCCCAGCTACTTCAGAGGCTGAGGTGGGAGAATGACGAACGCAGGAGGCAGGGCTTGCAGTGAGTCAAGATCCCGCCACTGCACTCCAGCCTGGGCGACAAAGTAAGACTCTGTCTCAAAAAAAATAAAGTGGTGCTCCCTTGGAATGCTCTACACGGGGAGCTTTTAGTGACACCTCACAACTGGTACAGGATGGATAGGCAAATGGGCCGCTGGCTGCACCCAATGTATAGTTGCAGGGTCGCAGAGAACAGGCCAAGGGAAGAGGCTGCGAGGGGGGTGACATGGGGACGCCTGGGCTGTACAACCCTGCAGATGTATCTGAGCAACCGGTGGGGCTCCATGGAGAACTGGCTGCCTGTCTGGCTGCAGCTGGACATTGTTACCTGTGGGTGCTTGAGGATGGCCCCAGCTGCTCACCTCCACGTCGTAATGAGCCATTAGGATGGCAAAGCTGCTCAGGTGGCTGCATTGGCAGGTGGTGCTGCCGTTCTTGCTGCCCAGCACCTGGCAGCCCTCAGTGGCCCAGTGCCCTCCCCTGTTGCTGTCACTCTTCCAGAAGGCACAGATCAGCTCCTGCCGTGGCCCGGGTGTCACGTCCTGTGGGCAGATGGGGGTGGTCAGAGAGGTTGGCCTGGAGCTCACTCTTAGGTCCTGGGCGTGGCTGAGCACAAGAGGGCTGTTTTTCACTAATGAGCATTTACTGAGCGCCTACTGAATGTAACAGGTTTGGAGACACAGCAGTGAACAGGGCAGACACAAGTACCTACCCTTGTGAGGTTGACATAAGAGTGGGAGAGATGGCGGGCACAGTGGCTCACGCCTGTAATCCCAACACTTTGGGAGGGCAAAGCAGGAGGATCATAATGTCAAGAGATCAAGACCATCCTGGCCAATATGGTGAAACCCCATCTCTACTAAAAATAAAAAAATTAACTGGGTGTGGTGGTGCCTGCCTATAGTCCCAGCTGCTTGGGAGGCTGAGGCTGGAGAATTGCCTGAACCCGGGAGGCAGAGGTTGCAGTGAGCTGAGATCGCACCACTGCACTCCAAGCATGACAACAGATTAAGACCAAAACTCAAAAAATAATAATACTAAAAATAAATAAAATAGGCCAGGTGCAGTGGCTCACGCCTATAATCCCAGCACTTTGGGAGGCTGAGGCAGGCGGATCACCTGAGGTCGGGAGTTCAAGAACAGCCTGACTAACATGGAGAGAGCTTGTCTCTACTAAAAATACAAAAAATTAGCCAGGCCTGGTGGCACATGCCTGTAATCCCAGCTACTCAGGAGGCAGAGGTTGTGATGAGCCGAGATCACACCATTGCACTCCAGCCTGGGCAACAAGAGGGAAACTCTGTCTCAAAAGAAAATAATGTAAGTAAATAAGTAAGTAATGAGGTTAGGAAAGGGCCAAATGGGGTCAGAAACACGA